TTTTCTCCTCTCTTCCATCCAACTTCCATTTTCCCTTCTTTTTCTTCTCACTGCCTTCTGGCTTCTTTCCTTAAATGCCTGAAAGGCAGTTTGTAGCAGAGAAAAAACACAGACCCTGGAGTCAAGTGGCCCTGATGTCACGTTCCGCTTCTGCGTCTCCAAAGGCTTGTCGCTTTCAGTTTCCTCATCTGGAAGCAGTGGGGACAGTCCTCGCCTCGCTGTTCCCTGGAAATGAAGGACCTGATGTCCCCGAGGCACTCAGTCAGTGGGAGCTGTGACTCCTTTTTTTTTTAATTGAAGTACTGTCAGTTACAATGTGTTAATCTCTGGTGTACAGCGCAATGTCCCAGTCATGCGTATGCATACATGTATTGATTTTCATATTCTTTTCCCTTAAAGATTATTACAAGATATTAAATATAGTTTCCTGTGCTCTACAGAAGAAAATTGTTTTTCTTATATATTTTTATATATAGTGGCTAGCATTTGCAAATCTCAAACTTCCAAATTTATTCCTTCCCACTGCCTTTCCCTTGGTAACCATAAGATTGTTTACTATGTCTAGGAGTCTGTTTCTGTTTTGTAGATGAGTTCATTAGTGTCCTCTTTTTTTCTTTTTTTAGATTCCACATATGACTGATATCATATGGTATTTTTCTTTCTGGCTTACTTAGAATGACAAATGGCATTGTTGCTGCAAATGGCATTATTTTATTTTTTCATGGCTGAGTAGTATTCCATTGTATAAATATACCACAGCTTCTTTATCCAGTCATCTGTCGATGGACGTTTAGGTTGCTACGCTTGTGTGGAGGTCTTGTTGGCAGTCGTGGAGGGGAGGCTGCATGGGCACTAGGTTACAGGGTCAGCTTGCTCAGGCATGAGGAAGCTGATCAGTCCACTCGACTCCAGCTTCAGAACCTTCTAGAACTAGTTCTTCCTGTCTCTCTCTTCATTTTCCTCCTTACTTTCTCGTTCAGTCAAGTCTTCACTAAGCCCTCCCAACTTTCCTGACTCATGTGCCGTGCCCCCTCGGTTCTTTCTCTGCTGTCTTGTTTATCAGAGCCCAACTTTGTTAACATTTTAAGCTGGTTTTTACACATTCCTTAAATCCTGTCCTTTACTTCACTTCCTTGGACTTTTCAGAGCTGGGGCAACCTACAAATGGGCAAGTTGTTCTGTAGTTGTGACCCACGATTTAAACTGGGGGTTAGCAAACCAGGGCCTCAAAAACTGCAGCCTATGGGCTCCATCTGGCCTGCTGTCTGTTTTGATAAATAAAGTTTTACTGGAACACAGCCACACCCACTTCGTTTCAGAGGATCTGTGGCTGCCTTTGGCTAAAAGGGCAAAGTTGAGTAGTTGGGACAGGGTATAGCCCACAAAGCCTAAAATATTTACTTATCGGGACCTTAACTGACAAAGTTGGCCAGTTTCTCCTCTAAACCATGCAAATTAAGCCACTCTTGTCAAGGAGGTTTTACTGTAAGCATTGCCTGCTGCTTTGCACAAACCCGATTCCAGAGGGTTTCCTGGACACCTTACCTGTGGTGTGCTGCCTTTCAAAGCCCTAGAACATCGATCCCAATTTTCTCCGCCATGTTTTCTTATACCAGCAGTATGCGAGATGCATATTGCCACCCATGTCTGTTGGGTTTTTTTCTAGAGTGAAATTTACAGATTAAAGCCAGATTTGATGGCTGACTTGGGGTTGGGGCTGGGAGAATACAAAGCACATGACCCTGCATCTTCGTGTAATAAGTTGAAAAATATTATCTGTGTTTGTTCATCAGACCACTGTGTACCAAACCATGAGGGGACTTCAGTACAAAAACAGTGGATTGGGGGTAAGGATTTGTTTTCTTTTTCTGGCTTGGAGCCCTGTTATAAAAGCACCCGCAGACTTTCAGAGATGTTGGTTTTTGCAGATACTTTAAGTAAAATGAAGTCTCAGTTACCCACCCATTCTAAACACCAAACTGGGTTCTGCCACCAATCTCCTTTCTACAAGGACTTCTGTAAACACAGGCAGCATCCTGGCATGTTGTTAGTTACAGGAGAAAGTGGTATTTGGATGTGTAGGACGCAAGTGGAGAAGATACACCGGTCACTTTTACGGTCGTTTTTACAGCCTCCAAATCTCCATGCCTTCTGACCACAAACCTTCATTCTCATGGGAGGACTGGCACAGGGCCACCTCGTCTGCCTTCCAGTGGCCAAAGCAAGTCACACAGCCAAGCCCACCCTCGTGGGGAGGGGGCGTACCCTGGTGTCCTGGGAAACCATGCCTGGGAAGCTACCAATAACCATGAACAGCTAGCGCAGCCTTCTTAACTAGGAGGCTGTGGTGGTGTGGCGCGGAATTAACAGAATCTGCCAACTGTGCAGTGAAACCTTTTATCACTTGATACCACTGCTGTGTTTTCCAGGTAAAAGTGGCCAATGTCATTTTCTTTCTGAATACTGCTCAGGACTTCCTCAAAAACCACACCTCCATGATTACTGCCGAAGTAAGTTTTGTTGTTTAAGTAAGTATGCCAGTAAGTGGACGTGACTGCCTGCGTAAGGAGAGGACGGTGTTGGCATTTTAATGGGTTTAATTCTCTTTGCTGTCTTTTTTTCCAGGAAAGTAAGAAGTTTGCCACTATGATACTGGGATACATTGAGCACTATCTGCAGTGGGTCAGGATCGCCGTAAGTGGTTTGACCCTTAAGAACTTCAGGGGGCCCTGTCTTGAGATAGTTATTTTCCAGGATAAAATCAGGAGGAAGTCAAATTAAATTCCCAGTAATTAGAGAGGAGGGAGGTAAAAGGCCCTTGATCGTGGGGCTCATGAGTGGAGGCGCTGTAAACTCAGTACAAGTGCCGTCCACGCCAGGTGGCTTCCCCGGCCTGCCCACGTGGGGTCGTGCCCACTGCTCCAGGGGCTCTGGCCCCCTCCCCGCGTCTCCCCTGGCAAACCACGAGCTCCTGACGATAGAGTCCCTTTGACGCTGGGGTTTGTACCTGCCCCGGGCAGCGCTGCGTCTGCTGTGTTGCTGGTGTACTTGGGGACTAGGGTTCTTAAACAGCAGAAGTTTATTTTCTCACCATCCTGGAGGCTGCAAGTCCAAGATCAAAATGGCAGCAGGGTGGTTCCTTCTGAGGCCTCTCTCCCTGGCTTGTTGGTGTCCGTCTTCTCTTGTGTCTTCACAGTGTCTTCCCTCTGTCCGTGTCCATGTTTCCTCTTCTTTTATTAAAGACACCAGTCCTGTTGGATTAGAGCCCATCGTAGTGACCTCATTTTAACTGAGTTGCCTCTTCAAAGACCCTATCTCCAAATAGGGTCCCATTCTGAGACACTAGGGGTTAGGACTTTGACATAGAAACTTGGGGTGGAGGGTGGCCCAATTCAGTCCATAAAGTTGGGTCTCTATGGACGTATGAGAAGTTGAGGGGCAGGGTGAAGCTCCCAGGGGTGCACGTTGCTCCCAGCATGTGACTTATGGAGAATTACAGCGTTTTGGAAAATGCCTTTTGTCATCTTGGGCCCTGGGCCGGGTCCCCACTGAGGATCATTCCTCTGGGGCGGTGTGCTTGCAGGAGAGTGACTTAGGGAGGTGCACACGCACAGGTGAGTAGTGGCAGAGGAAACACACAGCCTTATCGCCACCATTGCCAACCTGCATCTCCTCTGCTTGACCAGAGGACCCCATCCAGTCACTCTGGAAGTAAAGCGAATCTGGACAGGAATGCTTAAGTCATGCAAGAGCCACAGCATGGGAATATTAAGTGGCCGTGGGTACAAAATGGATCAGAGCTACCCCACAGGACTTGGAGAGATTTTTATGGAGTACATGTGAGAGAGAAAAGCGGGATGCAGGAAAACATGCAAGACGTGACCCCCTACCCCACTTTTTGTAAAACTAACGGTGAAAAAGCCTGATAGGGTTGTTTGAGCTCAGAAGCATAAGGTTATGAACATGGGTTGCCCTGTAAGGTGCAGGTGGAAGAAAGGGGGAGGTGAGCCAACCAACAAAGGAGAAGAACTAAGACACACCCCTGCCCCAAAGGGCCAGCACCTGGCTTACTGTACTTACTGTACTCACTACGAAGCTTCTGGAATCAGTGAATAGAGCTTTCTGAAGTCAGTGGGATTGGAGCATCTGTTTGTGTTTATTCTCACCTTGTTAATGAGAACTTCGTTTTCTGTCTTCCAAGATGGGGTACGCAGGTACTGCCAGTGTTGTAAGTAATGTTTTATTGGCACACAGCCACGCCCATTTGTTCGTGGATCGTCCGTGGCTGCTTGCACCCCACCACGGCAGAGCGGAGCAGTAGCGACAGATGTGTCTCAGCCCAGCCTGCAAAGTCTGAAATATTTATTCTTTGGCCCTTTAGAGAGAAACTTTGCCAACCTCTGTTCTGAAATGTCCCCTATTCTGAAATGTCCCCTGTTCTAAAATTATCCACCTTTCTATTTAGATCATCCTGTCAGATTACAAAGGGGTCAGGTAAGAAATTCAGACTGAGGCGCAGTGCTGGCCGCCTGGACTCTCTGATGCTCTCGGGAGTCTGGCAGGTTGGGACTTACTGTTCCAATAACAAACGAGGAAACCAAGAGAATCGAGGTCTTGCTTTCTAGTACGTACTTTGATGTGTCGTGGAACTCATGCATAGAAATCAGCTGTCAGCTCCATATCCCAGAGGGCACAGAGATCCTTTCTGTGAAAACGGGCCAGAAGTGACTGGCATGTCTCACTCTTGTGGAATTGTGTGGGAGTGGCTCAGAGTTTGCCTGTGTTTCTTACCCGCTACAGATCACCGAGCAGGTTGCAGCCTGCAAACCAGTGGCCACTGCTTTAGATTCCGCCGTTGACGTCTTTCTGTGCGGCTACATTGTTGACCCCATGGTAAGAATTTCGTCTTTCAAAATAAGAAGACACGATAAACTCACTATCTTTGATTTTTTTTTTCTTCCAGATTGTGGTACACGCTATAATGTGAAATAGATTTTTGCTCGGGTCTGTTACAGTTGTAGAATCCAAGACCTAAAATCTAAAATCTAGCAGAATGTGTTGATACCAAATAGACTAGAAAAGTCCAAGTCCCAGCTGCATCTCTTCATTCCTTACTGGGATTTTAGTTACGGAAGTCAGGAGACCTTCATGAAGAAGACTCCTCTTTGCCCAGAATAATCAGAAAGGAGCAGTCACCGGTGTGCAGAGTGCCGCCGCTCCACGGGACTCTTACTGCAGCTGTAAATGGAAGCCTAAAGATACAGCAAACTTAGTTTAATTTTTGAGTTAAAAGCCCTTTAAGATGCTTGTTACCTTTGGGCTGGTAAGTTCCGGTTAATCAAGTTCATTTCCCAGCTCTATTCACTCCTTGGTCTACAGTGACTGTCTCCATGAGTCAGTCCTCTCACTGCCTTCCCTTAAAGCACCTCAGTGACTTACCATTCACACCACAATAAGGATCAGCCTCCTTAATGTTCTACACCAGACCCTGCATGATTGGCTGCCTGCTCCTTCAGCCACATTTTGTACTATTTGATCACTTTTCCTACTGTGCTCCAGACACACTTTCTTTCATTTCTTTAAAAAAATTTTCTATCTTCCCACCCCAGGGCCTTTGCACATGCCAGTCCTCTGCCTGGAAATGGGAAACTCTTTCTCTTTCATTCCTCCCCTCCACACCCATCCCTCACCTAGCTGACTCCTCTAGGTTTTACAATATAACGATTGAGAACAAGTTCTGAATTCAAATTCCACTTCTCCATTTCTTGAACTCTGTGACTTGGGAAAAATATTGACCTTCATCACCTTAATGGGGTGGTTTCAATGGTCCAAAGAGAGATTGCATGGGAAGCCCTTGGCACCATTCTTGGCACGTGAACACACTCCATGAATGTTTGCTGTCATTCAGTTTGTGTGTCTTGCCCAAACGTATCTTTTTTTGTCCAGGAAGTCTTTTCTGATCTTCTCAACTAGATCTGGCTCCCTTTCCTACACTTCCGTGGAACTTCCTGCTTTTCCTTTAGAGATGTTATTAAGCTGTTTGAATCATACATTTATGTGGCTCTTTGATGAAGATCTGTTCCCCACAACATACACTAGACTCTAGATGCCTTAGCAAGGGGTACATGTTCACTGCTGTGTCCCTGTCATCTGGAGTATCTCCAGCACAGGCCATTGAATGAATGAAGGATGATCAGATAGCTGTCTGTCACAGTGCATTCGGATTGCTCTATCCTTCCATCGCCCTGTCCCATGTCCACATGCCCTTCCTTCTGTGGGATGGACTTTTGTACCTGAATGGAAACAATCCTGCCTCTTTCTCCACCATGCAGGCCCCACACCTTGGCTTTCCGGCTGCTTCTCTCTTGTTCCAACTTCTTATCCTTTTTGTCCTGCTGCTTGGAGCCCCTGCTGATGGCTCTGGTTGAAGCCGTCATTAGGGGAGCCCT